GAATAGGTTTTCAACAATCCATGCTTGCCGTAAAAAGCGACTGTGCTTGCTGTAAAAAGTGACTAACAGGATCAGGTGGTCAGGCTCGCTGACCCGGTTGATACATGTCATCAAATCCCAATAGCGTGGATCAATGCTCATGATATCAATCACTGGACTGTCTGGTCCAGACTCGATTATTTACAGACCACCGTCATATGGCTGGAATATTGTTGTGTGCGCCGTTAAACAACAAACAAACACTGCCATAGCCTATTTAGCATGTTTTGCAATCAGCTTAAAATCTGATATTTCAAACTCATGTTTACAGGGTGACAAATGCAAGGCATGTCAAGATTATTGTCCCTATTGCTTAACAGTGAGTCTGAGTAGAATTGAAAACTGTCAGGGAAGAGGACAAAGTCCTAAGGTATCTTTAGACCAGATTATATTTTCCTGGTTTGAGATAGTTTTGTGTGAAAAATCGTGGTTTGTAGCATGGAATAACAAAAACAGATCAGATTATTTTGTTTGTCCATGTAAAAGGTATCTAAATATCATGAAGATGCTACCTTGTACGCAGTGTTTAAGCTTGTCTTGCCATTTAACTTTGTGCAACCTATTGTTTGTTTGATGTTTAACGCCGCACTCAGCAATATAATCCCGCTATATGACGGCGGTCTTTAAATAATCGAGTCTTGACCAGACAATCCAGTGATTGACATCATTAGCATCGATCCACGCAATTGGGACACGATGACATGCATCAACCAAGTCACCGAGCCTGACCACCTGATTCTGTTAGTCGCCTCCTATGTGATGATCTTCTAAGTTTGCATTCATCAGCACTTTTCAGATTTAAACTTTTATCCACTTTTCATTGTTTTTAGAGTGATTTGAATCTCATAACCATACAATTAGACAAAATGGAACTGTTCTGGTCTAATCATGCTTGTCATGAATAAACAATTACCAAAGGTTCTACTTGAATTAAACAATTTTAGAGTAATATAGTTGATCTAATCACGACTTCTGATAAATATATGGTTATAAAAAATCCTTCTATCATGTACATTCACCAAATGCGTCCAAGAGCATAGATTTTCAAGCAACAGGCATATCACGTACAGTGTACATACATGAATTTATTCATGCATACACAGGAACAACCAAGAATAAATTTCACAGTGATTGATAACGAATAGCCCCACTTGTCATGTTTGTCATGCTTGGTTTTGTCAGTGAGCATCAACACTTCCTCATGTTGTCAGTATTCATGACATATTTACACAAAAATACATTGATAGAAAATAACTGTTTTAGCATGTTCAGTCCATTAGTCCCTATAATGATAACATATAGCATGATATAGCAAAACCCTTAATAATGGAAAATTTCTACTAGTCCTTATAACATAACTACTGGGCAGTTTGGTTCTGTAGAACTACTGCCAATTTCAAACACTCAATAAAGCTGTTAATTCACTTTTCAGTATATTAAACTGACAGTTATGTTGCTGTGAAATCTATTAAAAGCTTTCTTTAATTATTCACAATTATCCAACCCGACCATAACGATTACTGATCAGATTCTCCATCAGCTGTGAGGTTGACTTTTTTTTAAATAGTTCTGAATACAAAATTTATATAATATATGCATATATGATATATATATGTACATATGTGTAAGAATTGAGATTAGCGCCAAGCAGTAAGGTTCTGTTGTGCTGACATTGGTAACATCACTCTGTTACCATGGTAACTGTTGATGATATCTTGTCATGCTTCTAAGGCATTAATACAATTATACTTATAGGAAACAAATGATGCCAGAGTCATTATTTCTTTAAAGCCAGACAGAAAACTAATCAATCTTGACATTTTATCTTTAAGCAACTCTGAAATATAGTGAGTACTTGGATATTTTCTACACCTCCTCAGCTAATCATGGTCATAAAGATATGAAAGAAAATGATATATAGATAATATCAATATTCTTTTGCAAATCCTATTGGGAAGACAAATCTGTTAACAAATACTGAATTACCGTATTAGCTTGAAGCACCCTGCTCCAATAATAAATGCCCCCTGACCAATGACCAACTTCTGGACCATTCTGTGAGTAATCCTTATAAGCGCCCCAAACTAAGCTCCAAAATATACATGACAATCCATATTTTCTTTCGCATATCACAGCTGTTTCACAGAAAACACAGCAGTGTAGCAGGGATAGAAATCAGCACTAGCCCGCTAGCCTGAACCAGCTTAGTTAATGTTAATGGTATCGTAAGGGCTATTTGGGCTAGTAGACTTTCTTGGTTAATTTCTATCCCCGAGTGTAGAAGGGATATATAACTGCCTAGTATTAGTAGTAACTATAATGAAAAACCTTTGTAACTTTCATAACTTTTAAACCATGTTTGTAATTCTATACAGTTTGATCTCCAATAACAAATTTTACTTGTTTATGGTTTTAATAAATGCCTATTTTGTCATATTTTGGTTATTATGGTTAATATGGTAACTGAACAAACAGACATAGTAATTCTGATATTTGAGAACACTATTAAGTAGCTTCCATCCATGTGTTAGAAGCCATTCATTTGACCCTTGGATTTATTAACCAATTATACTCCCCTCAACACAAAAGTATAAAGTTTGTATGAAGGCACAATAAGAAACGCAAACCAGCAGACAAAAACAAAATCAGAAATGCATTCATGAATTCACTTAATGAAAACAGTTAAAACAGAACCAATCACAATCAACATACACCCATCATATTACCAAGAATACACTTACCAAATACTTCATTGTGACAGCTTGAAATATACAATAACATATATATCACAACCCATGTACATGTAAGGTACATGGACTTCTGGCAACATTGACTAGCCTTACAGCCTGTGACACAAGTAATGGCTCCCTGAATTTATTAACATCCCCCTGGCTAGTTAATTAATACACATATGATTGGTGCATTGCATCCAAGAGTCTATATAGTACAGCATGTCACTTCAAGATGAACGTGGTAGGCTACCAGTAAAATGTTACTTGAATCTAACCATGGATAAGAGTATAAACATTAATGAGACAAAGATTTAACGGTTAAGAAACATTGTGATATAAACAAATGATCACATATCAAAAGGTATCGTCACAAAAAATGTTTGTTTCATTTTCTGTTAAATGTAACACCACCCAATGGCAACTTTAAGATTTTTACACATGTCCTAAAATATTGCAATGTCATTACATACATCCGTATATCGCCATGGTCAGTGAATCTGCGTCTGAACTAATTAACTTTCTTGGCAAGATCTATATCAAGCTTTTCTTTCAGTCACTAGTACTCAAAGTATTTACTTAATAGGAAAGACAGGTTTTAGTACTTACAGTTTAGTGCTGCGGATGTAGATTCAGCTACTTATGTATACAGACTTTTGTTCGTCCTGAACCTTAAAATTGACATGTTTTCAATCCGGAATCAGACTGACACCGATGTTTACAAATGATGGAGTTTGGAAAAGTTGGATTGGCTAGTTTCTGGATATGGAATGCCGGTATAAGTGTAATAAGCGGTTGTCGGATATCAGGAATGATCGTTGACGATGTTTTATAAACATATTTAATTACAAATGTGTTAATCATAGTTGTGTATTTAAAGTGGTATTTGTCCCACAAGTTTGCATTGACCTCATGTGAGCTCATTTCTACTTGAAAGGAATTCGACGAAATAATACCATGTTGTTGGCCTGTGTTCGCGGTCACTGTCACCAAACGCCAGCAGTACAACTTGATCAAAAGTATCTCACAAAACAAACAATGAATGAATTGAGTACAAATTTCTTAAATTAATACACTCTTTAAAATTTACCTTTGCAAACTTTAGGGAAAGGCCAAGAAAGAAATTTTGTCACAGGTGCCGACCATTTGATATATTCTGTCCTTGACTTCACTTCCTAAAGTTGTCAAAAGAAAAGATTCGTTCACTGCACATGCTAGGTGTTACAAAACATGTACATCTATAATGCCCAGTAGGTGAAAATATGTTTACCGCCTGCTTTCGGAAAATATAATCATAAAGCTGACAAATTATATTCTGGCTCTAACAAAAGTCCCAAACTTAAATGTTAATAATCAAGTTGGACCAGGCCTACTAGTGGTTGACAGCATGAACACCCGCTCACGCCGTCGGGCCGGCTCTTTCGACATCGGTGACACATTCTGCGATCTTATGGTCCTTGTATTGGAGTTTCGTGATTCTAAAACAATTCATAATATAGTAACAACCATATAGTATGTGTTTTCGTGTTAAAAGATTTGACTAAACAAGTGACACAATTCATGACATGCGTGTTTTGTTTTCCGTACTCAACAATGTTTTAAACAGCCTGTTATATTGTCCTGTGAAGAAATAGCTATAACCTTTTAAATAATGTTGTTGGTTGTTTGTTTGTTTGTTTGTTTGTTTGTTTGTTTAACACAGCACTCAGCAACATTCCAGCTATATGACGGCGGTCTGTAAATAATTGAATCTGGACCAGACAATCCAGTGATTAATATCATGAGCATCGATCAACGCAATTTGGATCGATGACATGCATCAACCAAGTCAGCGAGCCTGACTACCCGATTCCGTTAGTCGCCTCTTTCGACAAGCACAGCATGTTAGTTTTATATTCAGAGTTGTGATATTTTAGTTATTGAACTGTCCATCGTCGACAGGTTTTTAGATATTTTTAATGTATAACTTGTGCTGGTAAAAATATGGTTTAAATATTGCCGACGTTACACATTTTAACTCACTTTAAACGAAACCTATAAAATCCGTTTTCGTAATGCAGTCCTAACTTTCACAACCGCTTCCTGTTGTGAACCGAATGGAAAAGGGGAAAGTATAAACTGCCCATTCCCCCTTTTCTTAATAAATGAGAGGATGTGTTAAGTTAATATTTGCTTTCACGACTACATTATTAGTTCAGAAATGAATGTATATGATATATTTCGTCATAATAGATCCATATGTTCAGAGTTGAGAGGGTGTCCCCGTGTCCCCCCAGCTGGAGGAACCGGAAGTAGATCGTGGCAAACATGAAGTGACGAAATCACAACAATGCTCTCTCTTTTGATGCAGAAATATGTCAGGTACAATATTCATGTTAATATGAGTTGTAGTGTCGATGTTCCGTTGTATATATGTCCTAACATACTGTATCGTGGAAGTTAACTGTTATTAAGTTGAAAGACAATTTAACATACATTAGTCACACATTAAGTTGCTCTCTGTCCTGTTTCTGATCAACAAGTGTCGATGTCCAACCTTTTGTTTTGACGGGAAACACTCAGATGAATAACTTGCCAACCTAATAAGACGAATTATTCAATGTGCCACATATCGTTTAGATGTTGTATATATAGCGGGTTGTGCCGAAGATGGAGATGGGCGTCTGGTCGGACATTTCACCAATGTTCATAGTTTTCGCTCATATTGCTGAAGGTAGTGAAAATTATTCCTGTGAAATATGGCATTGCAAGTACTTAGGATAATGAGTTATTGTGATCTCCAAACAATTTATGATTAATTACATTCTTTGTGTTCCTTTTATGACCTTAATCAAAACTAGGAAGGACTGATCAACACGACACAAGCTTTTGTGAATTAATTGTTTTTCTGTTAAAGAAAATTTAATAGAGATGTTCAGGGTTGTGTTTTTAAAATATCTAAAACACTGGACAATCCAGTTGATCCAGCAAACTGCAAATTTTCTGTTTTTATTTTCCAGCCTTGTATCCCAGTGTGCCAGTTTGCTTGTGGTCTCGGGGGTGTTTTTCGTCATCTCCTTCACTGCGGTCCTGATCTTTCTGAGATTGTGGGTCAGATGGAGGGCCAAGTCCTTGTTACCACACTTGAGACAGGACAGCAAAGGGAGACGACTGGTGACAGTGGGATTCTTCCACCCATACTGCAATGCTGGGGGTGGTGGGGAACGAGTGCTCTGGGTGGCCATCAGATCATTGCAGAAGAAGTAAGTTTTCTCCCTTTAGCCAGTGTTGTGCAAGCTTCTTCCCTCTCAGTAACACAAGCTTCTCACAGCAATAGCCCGTTCGTGCAGCACTCTATACTATCGCTGCCATCCAGTCGAAGCTCCCCACCGATTACATGATAGTTGAAATGAAATAGAAATTAAAACTGATAAACAATTCTGGAGTAAGAGTAATCAATGTCATGGACAGTCATCACTTGTTGGTGAACATAATGGTCAGTCAGTTTTGAGTTCAACTCCAAGCATGGTTGTAGCCACCTATCACAGGGAGGAGCTTTGACTGGTGGCAGCAATAGTATAGAGAGCCCCGTGAAAAGGGGGGGCACGGGGGGCCCAGTCGTCTAAGGCGCCGCGATTCGCTGTGCAGAGTTGCGTCCCTTGGGCACACCAGAAACCTATGATTGTGGGTTTCGAATCCCGGATAGCCCCGATTATGTTTCTAGGTTTGTCAGCACCGTGCTCGTGGGTTTCACCGAAGTGGTAAACGTCTGAGACCTGCATCACTTCGGTCTTTCCTCCCAGATTAAGCTGGCACGCCGCGATATAACTGGAATACTGTTAAAAGCGGCGTTAAACCCAACTCACTCACTCACTCCGTGAAAGGTTATCACTGTGAGGAGCTTGAGTGTTGTGTATTGGGCATTTTGGGTAGATGCAACATGCACCAAAAAAATCCCAGTCCAACCCCGAACTAGTCCTTTGTGATCATTAATAACCAAATGTTTATGATCTGTGACATGTTTCCCAGCTCTGTTTGGTGCATTTCTTAGTTAAAGAACACAGACAAAAGTAGCTTTTACATTTTCTGTGGTGAGTGTAATCGCATGTGAGTGATACTTAATCGGCAGGGATTGAAGTTTGTCTTTCACGCTAGCCTAGACCAGTGTTGTTAATGTTTTAGGTATCAATAGCGCTGGTAGAACTTCAAACAGTTTGGGGCGTATTGCTTTATGTTATCACTATTCTGGCTAGTCGACTCTCTTAGTTAATTTCTATCCCTGTCAGTGTCACAAAATAGCATCTGGAGCATTGTGATATATTGAGTTACAAGATTGTCATGATTGTTGGATCTGACTCATTGTCTGCCACAACTGAATGTGTCAGCCCCCATGAGGATGCCTGGTCAGATTAGGTCCCCAGTTTGTGCTGGTCGTAAGAAGCAACCAAAGTTTTTGGGTGGTCAGGCTCGGTGACCTGGCTGGAACATGTCATCATACCCCAATGGCGCCATCTTCCTGAGGCAAGGGAGTTAACTGACTATAAAGTCAGTTTCCACCCTTGACGAACTAGGCTGTAATTATGGAGTTACATTTTGGCTGGGCTAACGAGTCTGTGCATAGTCAAATCAAAATTGTGTAACGAACTAGACATCCGGTTCGTTAACAACAGGAATTTCAACGTGCAGATTTCGGTCGACTGCAGGATTTGCGAAGCCTGTGTACCGTCAACTTGGCGTCGTCAGCTATTTTGTAAATTCTTTCATGCTTTTAATCAAGGTGCTCACTCGATTTGATGCACTTCGCAGGGTAAGACCCATTGTATTACAATATAGTTCTAGAATATCGAGCAGATCGTCTCGACTGGGCGCCGCCTGTTTGTGACATGAGAGATGGAATCTGTTTGGTTAGTAGGGGGAACATAGAAGGGACATAACTCGTATTAGCCACTGGTGGCGCTACGATCGAGCCTGGAAATTCCAGCCTAGTTGGGCAAGGGTGGAAACTAGACTCATATAGTCAGTAAACTCCCTTGCCTCGGGAAGATGGATGGCGTGGCTCATTGCTCACAATTTCATTTACTGGATTGTCTGGTCTAGACTTGGTTGTTTAAAGGCCATCATCATATACCTAGAATACTACTGAGTGTGGCATTACACAACAAACAAACAAATGTTTTAAGTGCTTGTAATATTGGATGTGGTTTCCTGGTAAGATAGGGTCTGCTGTCTGTCATGGAGCAGACAGTGTGTGACATTGTGTCCCCATATCAACCATTGATTTGTTTTCCTCTGCCGCTTTGTACTTACAGGTTAAATAGCTGTACAAATCGTACAAATGTGTAGATGTTCCAGGTTGGGTCCATTAACATGATTAATAAAGCCTTGTAGCATTGACTGATGCATTATATGTTTCTTGTTTACAGACACTCTAATGTTAGCTGTGTGGTGTACACTGGTGACATTGATGCCAAACCAGAAGAAATACTGGGTCGAGCCAGGCAAAGATTTAACATTGTGTTACCCAAACCTATAGAGTTTGTGTACCTGAGAAGACGACAGTGGGTGGAAGCTTGTAAATACCCCTATTTCACACTCCTGGGACAAAGCCTCGGCTCTTTGTACTTAGGGTGGGAGGCGTTAATGAACTTTGTACCTGACTTGTACATCGACAGCATGGGCTATGCATTTACCGTGCCACTGTTTAAATATTTCGGTGGCTCCAAGGTGGCTTGTTATGTACATTATCCAACGATCTCCACGGATATGTTACAGAAGGTGACAGACCGGACTCAGTCATTCAACAATGCAAGTTTCATTGCCAGAAGTTCATTTCTCAGCAGCTTTAAGCTGATGTATTATAAAATATTTGCATATCTGTATGGCGTTGCTGGGAAGAGGAACGACGTGGTGATGGTCAACTCGACATGGACCTTCAACCACATTCAGGCGCTGTGGTCTGCAGGAAATAGAACACATATAGTCTATCCTTCATGTGATGTCTCCGAGTTTGTAAAAATACCATTAGAAAAGAGTTTAGTTTCTAAAGAAAGGACTATGGTGTCAGTAGCACAGTTCAGGCCGGAGAAAAATCATTCCTTGCAGGTGAAATCATTTGCTAAGTTTCTGGAGACGGTGGATAGTGAATGGGGGATGTATAAGCTGGTGCTGGTGGGTGGGTGTCGGAATGAGGGGGATGCAGAGCGAGTGGAGGCACTGAGGGGACTGTGTAGAGAGCTGGGGGTGGAGAACTCCGTGGACTTTAAACTCAATATCAGCTTCGAGGAGCTGAAGAGCTGCATGGCGTCAGCGGTGCTTGGCCTTCACAGCATGTGGAATGAACATTTTGGTATAGGTGAGGTGTTATATTGCACTTGAGTATGATGAGCTTCCCCAATTCTTGGGTACAAATTAGGAATTTACTAGTTTAGGTATATAAACCACAGGAACTTAATGTTCTTTTAGAAATTATGAAATTGGGTGTTTTATACAATCAAACTCCCATAATTTTGAACAGAACTTTAGATTGCTGTGAAATGACATCTGTGGTCATTAGTGATCGTAAGACAATACCCTGTGGGAATTCTATATGGAAGTAAGTCCACAGTATCCCATGCCTGTCCTGCTTCTTGGTAACCTTGGAGATTAGGTGGAATATTGCCTGAAGCTACTTCAGAAATGAAGTCACTCACACACTGATCATTGAACCTGCATATTAAGAAATAGTGGGGGAAAGGACTCATGACATACATGAAGAATTGATTTGACATCAGTCAATGACTGTGGAACAGGTTGAAAGTAATAAAACATTCTAATATTGCCTGTCTACTGCAAAGATGACAAAATGAAAATGCTTTGTTTACTGATTTGTTGTTTAAAACTGTTGGGTCAGTGGTCGAATAGTTCTGTTTTTTGTTTGTTACTTTTTTTCTTCAATTGATCCCTTAAACATGTCAAAGGAATTGTTGGTCAGGGGATTGTCATATTTTGAATGTTGTTAATTGACATAATTATCAAGATGAAAACATTCTAAAAATATACACTATGGTTCCCGATCTGTGAATTCTTTTTATTTGTTGATGGATAACGATGTGACATAAGTTCTGTCAATATGAATAATCAGTCTGTGTGTTCTTACCACAGGTGTCGTGGAGCTTATGGCAGCTGGGACGGTCATTATTGCCCACAACTCGGGTGGGCCGAAGCTGGACATCGTCGTTCCATTCAACGAGGAGCCGACAGGTTTCCTGGCTGATGACGAGGAGTCCTACGTTGGCGCCATGACGACAGTGTTCAGGATGTCTGATGATGACAGGCTGAGGCTACGGAGCGTGGCTAGACAGTCAGTGTCCCGCTTCTCTGATGAACAGTTTGAGAGGTCTTTCCTTGCTGTGGTGGATCCGGTGTTGAAATCCATTGAAGACAATGGTGGAAAATAAGGCTACAATAAATTAATCATGGATCTTCTAAATATTAAAAAAATGTGAGGGATGAGGCATTTATTTTTTTGTTTTTATTTGGTCAAGGCATCCGTGTTCATTAACACGTGAAGCATGAATGTTTGATTGGATGACAATGTGAACATTGTTTAGTCTGAGGACAGTATAAACATTGTTTAGTCTGATGAAGATGTGAACATTATGAGTGTTGTTGAGCATCAGAATCTGTTATTTATTGCTTTGTTGACATACACTTGAATAAAGCTGTTGCATCTAATTGTTTACCGCTGTATACCAACATTCACTGTTGTTTGTAAACTCTTTTGTCATGGATGAACACATGCCAGGCCCACTCTGGTACTTGAGACAAGCATAAGTCAGGGAATAACCAAAGACTGCAACAAATGTAACAAATGTTGGGATATTTGGGATAAGACTTGTATCACGTTCAAATTCTAGTACTGTTATGAGTCCCATCCGGGATATGAACCCACACTCTCAGAGATAGGCACCTGATCGCCAGCACACAGTCTCCGATCTAATCCACTCGGCCGCCAAGGCTTCCACAAAAATGAAAGTCCGACAACCGGTGGTCTAGATCATGTACTTTGTGTTCCTCTCTTGCAAGTGTAGATTAGCAATATTATTACAAATATAACATTTGTTACGTTTGACCACTTTCTAAATAACATTGTGTATTCAAAGATTATAAGCAAATCTGAAAACATGGATGTTTAGGGGAAAACCCCCAGATCTCACTGAGGTACACATTCCTGTCTGCCTGGACTGCATCTCATTCGGTGAGAACCATATGTAGATTCTGATGTAGAACTGGTCCCCACAACCTGTGTTAGTTGCAAAATTGGATCAGAAGTTCTTACTCCATGACTTAAATGATTGTGTCATAGTAACTCAACAGTGTGGAACATTGTTTATAACATCAATCACTGGAAAGCCTGGTCTAGACTCACTTATTTATAGTCCACTGTACTATAGCTGAAAAATAGCAGAGTACAGCATTAAATTTAGATTCAACCACTGATACTATATTTGTTTGACAGTGAGGAAATCTAAAATTGGGTCCCCTGTACTCGGACAGCAGAAATGTCCAGTCTACTTGTACAGGGTTTGGAATGCTGTAGGTAGAGATTTGTTTAGAGACAATATCAGATTGTGTATTGGATTTTTTGCCATCTGTTCTGAACCTGGGTCTTGGCAGGAGCAAGGTTAGCACAGGCTTGAAATGGCCTTGTATTTGGCAGTTCAGGCCTTGAAAAGTCCTTAAATGATGAGATGGATTGGGTGGTTAGGCTCACTGACTTGGTTGATGCATGTCATTATATCTCAATTGTGTAGATCGATGCTCATGATATTTGTTTGTTTGTTGTTTAACACCGCACTATTCGAGTTATATCTCATGATGTCAATCACTGGATTGTATGATATTTACAGACAGCCATCATATTATAGCTGGAATATTGCTAAGTGCATAGTCAAGGTCACTTCAAGATTATTGCACATATATAGCTACTTGTGTGTGTGTGTCTGCTTCTACTAGTCGTGAAATACCAAAAGACCTTAAAAGATGGTGTTATTACCCTGCCTGGCACTCGGCATGAAAGGGCTAAACAAGGACTCGTCAGCTGAGTTACCATACTGTGTCTGAGTGGGGTATTCATGTTAAACTTGTATGGTATCTCAGTGGGTTAGCACAATAAAATCGGGATTGGTCTGACTAATTTCTCTCTCTCTCACACACACACACATTCGTAAGTGCAAAATCTTGAACACCATGTCAACTCACCTCACCTCTTCTAGTCACTGACTAATGCTGGTTTTATTGTGCTAGCCCACTGAGGTACCATGCCTCAGATTAACATGAATACCCAATTCAGACACAGTATACAGACTCAGCAGACCAGTCCTTGTTTTAGCCCATTAATGTCGAGCACCAGGCAGGGTAACAATTATAATTTTTTTAGCACTTTTTGGTATTAAGCAACCGAGGATCAAACCACCGACCTTCTGCTCTCCGGCAGATACTTCACTACACCTGATGCTTATGATGTATTGTCCGGTCCAGAATCAGTTATTTACAGACCACCCTCATAAAGCTAGAATATTGCTTTGTAGGGCGTAAAACAAAAAACAACAAACACTGCCAACTTCATGTACATGTAGTAACTAAGAGGCGACGGTCAGACTCGCTGACTCACTTGGTTGAGGCATGTCATAAATCCCAATTGCGTGGATCGATGCTCATGATGTCAATCACTGGATTGTCTGGTCGATTATTTACAGACAGCCATCATATAGCTGGAATATTGCTGAGTGCGGCGTTAAACAACAAACAAACAAATCATGTAGTCACTTACATCTGCTGACAAAACCTGACATTCATTGTAAAATCAGACAAAACAAAACATTGTAAGACATTATTTATTATCAAATGTTTTGTAACTCACATGTACAGTGCACAAATCTTACAGCAGCAGATGTTACAGGCTGGTTCAAGGCATCCGTGTCATGCTTGGTGATGTAACACGACTTCATGTAACAGACTGTATGGCGGCACATATACATAGTGACGACACAGGTGCCTGAAAACATTTATTAGTTTCCGTTGCTTTTGTCCTAATCCGAAAGAATCAGATAATATATTCGACATTGACATAGTGATGTATTATTTGTATTTCAGACCGGGATAATACAAGGATATATCAATAATATAACAAAAATGTTTGTATTTTTATGTGGGCATCACGATAATATGCCAGAGGAACTCGTTATTGATCCGTAAATAAAAATATATACCCACAATGTATAAGTAGAGAATATTGGGTGTATATACGTATATTTACAGTCCAATAACGAGTTCCTGTGTTATAGGCTTACTGCACATTCGATTTTCCCTGATATTTTGTGGGAGGGGTGGACAAATACAGTTGAAAATGCGCTTACATAACAGTATCAACACCGAACAATGTCTATATACAGAGTGTCAAGACAATCCCGAACGCGAAATAAAAATCGGTATTAGTAGAAACTGAGCAAGAAGAAGGGTCCATGTTCGGTCCACCGCAATTTCCAGCAAGGGCCTTTCTCCATTACCCACTTCCGTCATGCGCACTCATGTGACGAGACCAGCGTTGGGTGTTGGGCTAGAGTCTTCTGTCCGCTATCGGTCGTTTTGAAGAGATTGACGTTTGTCATTATCGGTTTACTTCTTGCTGACGGTGTCCCTGATTCTGTCTCCGAGGTTCCTGATGTTGTCGATCATGCCCTGGAAGCCGCCCCGCTGGGTGAATTCCGCCGACCCCCGCTGAGCTGCGCACTGACCCGTAATCTGCACCATCTCTCGCCAGATCCTGCAAGTACAATTGATATAAACGGTTATATTGAAATATTATTCAAGGTCGGATCCAACATTTTTAAAGCGGATGGGTCCAAAATATCAAACTCCTCTCTCAGTCAATTTCACTGCCTGCTACGTACCACCAGAGGCCATCTAATGCTCTCTGATACTACATTTGGACGCCCCTCTGGATAAATATAGATCATCGGATTTCTTCAATCTCAAGACAGCGGAAGTAGATCTAAATGAAACGACTTACTTTCCTGCCCCCATGGAGAAGAGGTCGCGGAATTGGTAGATATCCCAGAACGCCTGTCGGTTGGCCCAGAATACATTGCAGAATCCGTTTTCCAGGTAACACGCGCTCCAATTGTTCCAGGCGAAGTGTGAAAGGTCATGACACTGAACCGTCTCCTGGTTGTAGTAGGCCAAAAGTCGTTCTGTCATACACCGCGAGGTGGCGTTGATCCAGTCCTTAGCCTGCGCACAGAAGATGAGTTTAGTGACAGACTATTTAATATTCGGGGGTACTTTTTCAAGCATTGTCCTGGGACAATATATCTTTATTTCGACAAAATACTAATTGGAATCCACAATTAACGGACTCGTGCGTATCGGTCCTTGTGTTGATTACAAATCGTCTTTCAGCTTGCCCTGGAATGGTCACGAATGTAGCGAACTCTGGAACAACTAGGGGAGGCAACTCTGCACAGTCCCCCGGATACTAAGAGATGCTTTATGTTAAAACAATGTAACTATTTTTGTTTGTTTGTTGTTGAAAGCCGCACTCAGCAATATCCCAGCTATATGAAGGCGTTCTGTAAATAATCGAGTCTGGACCAGACAATCAAGTGATCAATATCATGGGCATCGATATAGCAATTGGAGACGGTGACATGCATAAACCATGTCAGCGAGCCTGACCATCCGATCCCGTTAGTCGCCCCTTACGATAAGCATGGGTTGCTGAAGACCCATTCTAACCGGGTAATTGACAGGTACAATGTAACTATGTACTTTATCGTTCATATTTACCAACATAGGCAATGAACGATATATATGTAATGATTTCATTGACTAATATATGCTCATGTACGCTACATATGATTTCATAAGAGTTCATCACTCACCTGTTGGTCAAAGGTATGGTACAGCTCGTCGAACCGGGCACAGTAGTAACCTCCATATTTGGACATGTACCCCCGGCTTCCGCATGGCAGCCTGTTTTCAAAACAGGAGTAGAACTCGCATCGTCCCGCAGAGCCGTGCGCAAAACACTGGGGGTCAGTTTCTGTGAAGAAAATGATGGGATGTATTAAAAAGCTGCAGTCTGAAATATTCCCCTTAGGAGACGATGACGTGTATAATATCGACAAACCAGTCCGTGAACCATGAGCAACGACCAGTCTACCAGGTCCCAATTTATTCGGTACGTTCTTACGATAACCATGTGTCCTGATGGGTGTCTGTCATATTATATATTACGGCGTGTAGTGGAACCGATCTTGTTGAACAATGATTTGAATGGATGAAGTCTCAAATGTTTAGGCGTCCTTCCACATGTGACCCACCTTAAAACAACATAGGGCATGAGTGAGTGCACCTCTAGCTCTCTGTCGCTGACCTTAAACGTTATAATGGAAAGAGCCGACAGAAACAATAGATAAACAGGTATTTACTTCCATGCAGAAAAAGCTATCTTAAAAACAAATGTCTTTAAATGACCACGTTCACTTTTAGTTATCTAATATTAGTAGCAACTTTAATGTCTCATTTTGTCTAGCCCACTGGCCCATCAGTTTGCCGTGCCTACCATAGATCCGAATAATGTACTTGGAAATAAAAGTTTTAAAATTTTTGTGAACAGAAAATAGAATTTCGAATGGTCGGTCCATTTTGTTTCTTTTTCCTTTTGTGTCCAAAATCCTTGTCCAGGACAGATAGTAAATATTACCATTATTATTTTCTTATTTACTTAGTCATGTTTTTTAATATTCGGCACAATATATTTATATATTTATTAGTGAACTATTTATTTCAGACAATGCAAACAAACCACTTAGAAGTGACGAAAAGGCATAATCAATTACTTCAGCACGGAGTGAATTATTTTGAAGTATGATTATGTTAAAACAAACCCACCTCCTGATGCTGTAGCAGTTCTTCTTTCCCAGAGAAAGGCCTCCGACAGGCCAAAACAAACCACGATTGCAGCCACGCACAGCTTCATATTCATGATTTACCAGTAACCTCTGCAGTAAATGAATGACTGTTCGATTCGGTAAGTAGATATACTGGGCCAACGGAAGAGTCACTCAATGTGTTTCCCGTCCAGGTCAGATATAATGGTCTGAAACAGGGGGATGCTCTCATCCCCTTCTTATTCATCTTAAACCCGGAAATATCGTATTTGCATTGACGCTCGCTTGATAATTCTTGAGAGCCTTCGTTGACGTGCGCTTTAAGGATAGGAACAAAAGTAACGCTTGACCAACATAGGTTGTCAGATTTGGTGTATGGTTACAACAGAAAATAAGTACATGATGTATTGGTTTTGACGTATTTCGCTGCCACCTCTCGACACGATCGTTACTCCGTCTTGACACAATATTCAAGGGTCATGACTTGTTTGTACTGAATCTTGCATGGCGCATAACCATTTTGACATGCACCCAAGGACCCATTAAGTGATCGTTCATAATAAGATGACATAAACACAACCACATATACCATCGGAAAAAAGTAACTGCGCTTCATATAGAGTTCAATAAAACTTAATATGTTCTGAAATCAAATGCATCTTTAAATACATATTCATAAAGATATTTCCTTCACTTTAAGGTCATGATTCACAATTGGACCCCCCCCCCCCCCCCCCCCCCCCACCCCCCACCCCCCCCACCCCCCACCCCCCCCCCCACACACACACACACACTCACACACACTGTTTTTAATCTTCTGGTTCAATACGCCGCCGCTGCCTCGCTAGACTAACACTTAGTCACTGAAATCTTATATTACACCATATCCTTCTTGACTCTAAAAATATAAAAAATCCCTATGCTGAGAGCTGGCTAGACTTGCTTTTGTATGCGTCTCTAGATTATTATTTTCATAAATTAAATATATTCCACAGTCATGGTGCAGGACTACTACCTCGCCTGTATCGACGTTAATGGTGGTCGCATCCGATATTGACATTCTTAATTAAGTTTTTATATCATGTAACAAGGTATGGGGTTTGTCAATGTTGATAAAAACATTGATCTCCGCAAATATTTGTTGTTATTTTCAATAGGGTGGCACAGTCGTCTAAGGCGACGCAATTCTCTGTGCAGAGTTGCGTTCCTTAGACACACCAGAAACCTATGAACGTGGGTTCGAATCTCAGTTCACCCCGATTATGTTTCTAGTTAATTTGTGCATCACTTCGGTCTTTCCTCCCACATTAAGCTGACTCTCAACTGGAATACTGTTCAAAGCGGCGTTAAACCCAACTCACTCAGCGACCCATTCTTGCCGTAAAAGGTGACTATGTTTGTCGGTAAGAGGCGACTAACGGGATCGGGTGGTCAGGCTCGCTGACTTGGTTGAAGCATGTCATCGATCCCAATTGCGTGGATCGATGCTTATGATGTCAATCACTGGATTGTCTGGTCCAGACACGATTATTTACATACCGCCGTCATATAGCTGGAATATTGCTGAGTGCGGCGTAAAACAACAAACCAAACCAAAACTCGCTCAGAGCGGCATTAAATCCAATTCACCAACTTATTTTAAATAGCAAAATGTTGACAAAATTCCGTATGAGGCAGTCAGCTAGAACAATTAAAAACAGGTAATGGCCGGGTTATATCGATTTCTTATTCTATAGCTCCTTGGGAGGTGAAGTACATTTATTTACAATGAATTATCTAAGATGCTTCATACTTCTATATACACTCATTTCGTTTAATAGAAATACGCTGGAAAACGCGGAACAAGAACATGGGACATGACATTTTTAGTTTTTAATTTGTTGCCTCAAAGAAATGTTCGCACTAGAAATGAAATACAAATCACGATGTAGCGTTTACTTGCGTGGAACTATTTTCGAGTTTACTCTGGGTAATAATTAGGGGTCCAAGGCTTGAACACAGGTGTCCCAGGCTGGCGACACGTGGCACCGTTCACTTGATTTCCACCATGTTACCGAGGCACTGTTGTTACATTATGGACATGCTAAGCTTAAGGCTGTTGTAAAATGGTTTTTCATATTAGATTTCGACTGACAAACGAGATATTGATGCGAACGGCCATATGTGTTTGCCACCCATAGGTTTCGCAATATAAATCGCGTTCCTTCTCAAACAAACAAACAAACAAACAAACAATGTGTGAGCGCATTGGACGCAACATTTTGCGTCCTGTGAAAGCCTGGCGACGCAAGTGCGTGTATGTCCACGTTGTTAGTTATGTCACGGACCTATATTATATTATAAGTCCGTGGTTATATACAGCGAACGTTATTCAAAATCAAATATACATAAATGCGAGTATGGACGAGGTCATCATGGTTCATAATAGTATGTCAGAAACTGACAGTAGCGAATCAAGGAGCCAGTTTGCTTGTTTGTTCAAGATAAGTATATTGTGTAATGTGATGACTAAAGACCTGGTATAAGATAGCAGGTAGGGAGATATCGACATCATGCGATGAATGGAACATTGCCTACATTAGAAGGTGTGTTTTACCTAGACACTAGAGATATACACCACAACACATGGATGTTTTACATGGTGGAGATATGAGTGCAGATACACAACAACACATCAGTTTTCCGAGGAGATATTAGTGCAGATACAACACGTCACTGTTTTCCGAGGAGATATTAGTGCAGATACAACACGTCACTGTTTTCCGAGGAGGAGACATGACCGCAGATACACCACAACACATCACTGTGTTACAAGGAGGAGATATGAGTGCAGATGCACCACAACACATCACTGTGTTACAAGGAGGAGATGAGTGCAGATACACCACAACACATCACTGTGTTACAAGGAGGAGATATGAGTGCAGATACACCACAACACATCACTGTGTTACAAGGAGGAGATATGAGTGCAGATGCACCACAACACATCACTGTGTTACAAGGAGGAGATATGAGTGCAGATACACCACAACACATCACTGTGTTACAAGGAGGAGATATGAGTGCAGATACAACACATCATTGTGTTACAAGGAGGAGATATGAGTGCAGATACACCACATCACTGTTTTACAAGGAGGAGACATGACCGCAGATTCACCACAACACATCACTGTTTTACAAGGCGGAGATATTAGTGCAGATACAACACATCACTGTGTTACAAGGAGGAGATATGAGTGCAGATACACCACAACACATCACTGTGTTACAAGGAGGAGATATGAGTGCAGATACACCACAACACATCACTGTGTTACAAGGAGGAGATATTAGTGCAGATACACCACAACACATCACTGTGTTACAAGGAGGAGATATGAGTGCAGATACACCACATCACTGTTTTACAAGGAGATATGAGTGCAGATGCACCACAACACATCACTGTTTTACAAGGAGGAGATATGAGTGCAGATACACCACATCACTGTTTTACAAGGAGGAGATATTAGTGCAGATGCACCACAACACATCACTGTGTTACAAGGAGGAGATATGAGTGCAGATACAACACATCACTGTGTTACAAGGAGGAGATATGAGTGCAGATACACCACATCACTGTTTTACAAGGAGACATGAGTGCAGATGCACCACAACACATCACTGTTTTACAAGGAGGAGATATGAGTGCAGATACAACAAATCACTGTGTTACAAGGAGGAGATATGAGTGCAGATACACCACATCACTGTTTTACAAGGAGATATGAGTGCAGATGCACCACAACACATCACTGTTTTACAAGGAGGAGATATTAGTGCAGATACAACACAACACATCACTGTGTTACAAGGAGGAGATATGAGTGCAGATACATCACAACACATTACTGTGTTACAAGGAGATATGAGTGCAGATACACCACAACACATCATTGTGTTACAAGGAGGAGATATGAGTGCAGATACACCACAACACATCACTGTTTTACAAGGAGGAGATATTAGTGCAGATACAACACTGTCCGTCTACCTAACCCGGACAATCTCTTGTTTACTTTTGATTACTCTTGTTTACCCACGCTCGTGATCGTGCGTTTCACCAAAAGACCTGCATCACTTCGTTCTTTCCTCCCACATCAACCTGGCACGCCGAGAAATAACAAAAATACTGTCCAACATTTTCAGCGCGGCATAAAACTAAACTCACCCACTGGAACAGACATACTGCCCAAAACCTCGTTGAACACAGCCCACTCACTCACTCCTAAATAAATAAGCAAATGACAATATGACAATTTATTACATTTACACGAACAGGTTCAGAATGACAAGGTTTCTATGAAGCTGAGTTGTCTGTGGATTACAGGGTGAACTTAACGAGGCCGTGGTCATGTCTATTCGCCACTGTTGTAATCCCAACTTGCTGGTGTGCCCATGTGTCCTTGGGGGTCCAGTCGTCGGTGATGGCCCATGTCCAAGCACCGCTGTAGCCGGTGTTGTAGGCGTGATTGAACATCTCTTGGATCGTCATACCGGCGCCCTGGCTCTCCCGGAACTCGCCGATCACTATCGGCTTGTCCATGTGGTAAGCTGACGCGGCCATCTAGACGAAGCAAGATGATATTTAGAGTGGAATACCATTGACTAAAACTGAGTTAGTGACATTCAGTCAGGGAGCAGGTGAAAAGTACGTTGTCGCATAAAAGAAATTAATTCCATAGGTTTTGAGACAAACCCCTATACCATCCTCGAGTATCCAGTGTATTATGCCTCCATTCTGTTATGATTTTGGCCCCGATTCCTTAGACGTGCCAAAAGCTATGATCGTGGGTTTTATCACGAGTCTTCCTTTATCAGCAACACCATGGCAGATGTCTGAGACTGCGCCACTTTGGGCTTTCCACCTAGATCAAGCTGACTCGCCATTTTGGCATACAGCTCCTTCTACGTGTGTACGTTTACCACATGTCCATACTGATTGACATAATTTATAAGTATAGAGAAATATAAAATAAAAACCATCTTAGGAAAACATAATTGTCTCGCATTGGCACACCGACGTGACACTACAAAAGTACCATCTTCCCGAGGCAAGTGAGTTAACTGACTATAAAAGTCCAGTTTCCACCCTTGCCGAACTAGGCTGGTATTATGGAGTTACATTTTGGCTGGACTAACGAGTCTATGCCTAGTCCATTCAAAATCGTGCACCGAAATCGAAATCCGGTTCGTAGAGTGTCATGCAGATTTCGGTCGACTGCAGGGTTTGCAAAGCATGCGCACCGCTAACTCGTTGTCAACAGATATTTTCTAAATCTTTTCATGTTTTTAATCAAGGTGCTCACGTGATTTGATGCACTTCGCGATGTAAAACTCGTTTTATCACAATATAGATATTGATTATCGATCAGATCGTCTTGATTGGGCGCCACCGTTTTGTTTGAAACAAATGCAAGTGATACGAGGGGTTGAATCTGATTGGTCCTTAGGAGAGGCATAGAAAGGACAAAACTCGTAATAGCCACTGGTGGCGCTACGATCGAGCCCAGGAATTCCAGCCTAGTTCGACAAGGGTGGAAACTGGACTTTTAAAGTCAGTTAACTCTCTTGCCTCGGGAAGATGCAAAAGTACTAACAGAGGATTAAGGGTAACAGGTTGACCTGTCCGTCCGTTGTAACGGTGTCCGTCATTTGTGATTAAGTATTGCTGATTGCCGCCCCAAGCGACATGCCACCTGTCATGGATGTCCAGTCCTAGCGTCCTTATAGATTAAATAAGCGTAACTGCCCTATCAAAGTTTAAGTCAACGAATTCATGGTCATACAGATAAAATTGTATATACAGTATTATACATATCTCTGTCCATTAAGAATGCAGCATTTTACAATCTAACGGTAACCAGCGGCATCGTACTTTCTGTTACTTCACTTTATTGTCATGTACAGAACTGTATACGTGTACTAGTATGAGGCAGACACGGTCGAGTTACGGTGAGTGAGTGAGTTGGGTTTAATGTCGTTTTTAGGATTATTCCAGTTATACCACGGCGTGTCAGCTTAATGTGTGAGGAAAGCCCGAAGTGATGCAGGTGTCAGACTTTTCCCACTTCAGTGAAACGGGTATGGTGCTGACAAACCTGGAAACATAAACGGGGTGAACCGGGATTCGAACCCACAATCATAGGTTTCTGGCGTGCCCAAGGGACGCAACTCTGCACAGCGAATCGCAGCGACGACTTAGACGACTGGGCCACCCGTACCCCACCTTCCCCCGAGTTACAGGATGGGAGTTGACTCCTGGGACTCAAAACATGATGCCCACCAGTGTCCATTAAATAAATGTGCTATCTATTCTGTTTCTTTGTTGTTTAGCGCCTGCACTCAGCAACATTGCAGCTGCATGACGGTGGTCTGTTAATCATCGAGTCTTATTCGTTCAAGTCGTACACAGTGATGTAACTTAATTGTCATCGCGAAAAATGTAAATGCTTTTACAATCTCATAAAAATCAGATCTTTTACATTGCATCTCTGCGTGAAGAAGAGGGGTATCTACCTAATTCGTACACACACTGTCTGTTTCACACAAGCTAAACAGTCCAGGGCCCACTTGCTCAAAGCGATCTTAGCGCTAAGACTATCGTAAGCCTATGTTAAGTTTGGGAGTTACGGTCATCTTAGCGCTAAGATCGCTTTGTGCAAGTGGGCCCAGAGCAGTAGTGACTTGGGGCATAGACCCTGTTCACCTTCACGGACATCGTGTTGTTCCTATGATTCACAAACAAGTGAAATATCATCCACTTCTTCAACTCGATACATCAGTGTGTTTAATTATAAGACGACGCAGCGTTTTTTACCCCCAGAATCTTCATCTGTGCTGTTATATGTGATCTTCCCTTGCCTCGAACTACCGATTACCTAAATGTATAAATTCGAATGCGAGATCATAGGGTTCTGGCATATCTATGGGACGCAACTCTAAATAGCGAATGGCGGCACCTGTGCTCCCTCAAAATAGGTTTACCGTGAATGGGGAAACTTCATCGAATTTCCCCTGCCAGTCATAACTGTGGATCTGAAAGAAGTCCAGCACTCCCTGAAATAGAAATAAAACTTTACATGCACTGACATTTGATTGCTATAAATACCACGCAACAGGGATGTAGACAGATCGATTTTCGCACGTACGCACGCCCATATGAACATACGCTCGCACATACGCAACGCACGCTCTCTCTCTCACACACACACACACACACACACACACACACACACACACCCACCTCATTCCATTTCACCTCACCTCACCCTCTCCGTATATGATTATGTTACTTTGTTGCCATTTTACTCTTCCACAATGTTTTGTACAAAAGATTATAGTTTTGCCCTGAACTATTACCGTTATAGCACGAGGACGCCTTTGATAGTTTAGCAGTGAAGCATCTTGGAATTAGAATATGGATAAATCATGTACCTGTTTTTTACCCCCAGCCTTGATGAGGCAGGCGTCAGAGTAGTGGTTGTAGTAACCTTTGATGTTGACGTTAGACTTTGCGTTCCAACTGCCCATTGTCACTAGAGTGTGAGCGTCAGCAGATTTGATGGCCGCAGCCTGCCAGTTGATGAACCTAAATAGACAGAGGGTAAATACAGAATCAGTGGATTTGATGGCTGTAGGCGGCCCGTTGATGAAGCTAAATAGACAGAGGGTAAATACAGAATCAGTGGATTTGATGGCTGCAGCATGCCAGTTGATGAAGCTAAATAGACAGAGGGTAAATACAGAATCAGTGGATTTGATGGCTGCATACTGCCAGTTGACTGACTTTGGTAAATAGTGGTTAAATCCAGAATCAGTGAATTTGATGGCTGCAGACTGCCAGTTGATAAACCTTATTAAATAGAGGGTAAATACAGAATCAGTGGATTTGATGGCTGAAGGCCGCCCGTCGATGGACTTTGATAAATAGAGGGTAAATACAGATTCAGTAGATTAGATACAGCTTTCCAGTTGTTGAACCTGAATATATATGGTAAGTTGAGAATCTGTAGATTTGATAACAGTCAACTGATAATTAGAGGGTAAAGGAAGAATATTCAATTAACTTAAATATGTTTGGTGCGATATGAAATACAAACTGAAGTCACCTCGGTTGCATTTATGCCATACTGCGGCTACAGAACATTTTTTACCCTTATATTGACATATAACCAAATAACCAGTTACGTTTTAACAGATTTCTATTTAAAACTACTTGGAGAATATTAATACGATTAAACTATATTACTCAAGATTTCCTAAGTACCCAGGTTTGATGGTATAAACAAATCATCAAACAATTAAAGATTGAAATATCCTGGTACACAATGATTGGGTAACCTCTATATGACCTCAATTTCACGATGAACGGAAATGCAGTCATGGGCACGATGTACACGACGTGCTTGAAAACCTGTGTTTGGATGTATCGTGACAGAATCGTTGCACATCATTATCAGAGAGCACAACAGCATTTGCTGCTAAGGATTGCAACAACTGAATGAATTTATGTCCCCTCAACGTCAAAGACGTCGTTTGACGACCAAATAATTAGGCAGATGCATAGGCATGCTTGAAACAGGGTCAACACAACGTCATGTTGCAAACGACTTTGATCAGCAGGGCATTAAACGATTTTTGAATCGATTTTTAAACGTTAGGATCAGCTACCCAGCGACATGCAGCTGGGCGATAGCGTTCCACCACACAGCGGGAAGACAGGTTTCTCCTGATTACAGCAAGACGTCTTCACTTTGTGACTGTCACCACACTCAGAAATGAACTGCGGAACGTCAGTTCTACTCAGAGCATAATCGTCTCCGTGAGGCTCGTCTCCAGGGACGTTGATGCAGGAGACCGGTCAGACCGGTCACCACACCTCAACCCCATCGAACATTTGTCGAACGAGCTGCAGGTCGTCCTCTCACGACGCCCTGTCCTTCCGGAAACCCTTCAGGAACAATGCTCTTACTGAAGAGTGGATAATCTTCCCTAAGCAACCATCCAGACACTTATTGGGAGCATGAGTCGACGGGACAAGGCTGTGATCGCATCCTGAGAGTTGTTGTTGTGGACAATGAATTTGTTTTCGTGATTTTTTCATTTTGGTCAGATTTGTTTGTTTGTTTGTTGGTTATATAACGCCGCATTAGCAATATTACAGCAATTTGCCGCCGGTCTGGAAATAATCGAGTCAGGACAAGACAATCCAGTGATTGATATCATGAGCATCGATCCGAGCAATGGGGATACGATGACATACATCAACCAAGTCAGCGAGCCTGACCACCCGATCCCGTTAGTCGCCTCTTACGACAAGCATAATCGCCTTTTACGGTAAGCATCGGTTGCTGAAGACCTATTCTACCCCGGATCTTCACGGGTATTTTAGTCAGATACTAATTATTGCTCACACGTTAAACACGTCTTTACGCAATATTGCGTTTCGCTATTTCAACAGAGGAAACACAGTTTGACGTATTACCTTTTAAAGTGTTGAACATTAATTGAAATATAAAACAACGACAATATAAACTTTGTGCCCGAGATCGCCAGCAACCAAACTTAGACCGCCTCAATAGGAATCATGTTGTAATCTGCTATCTGCACGGAGTCCCAGCACATTTAAATTGTTCTGTTTATTTAGGTGTGCAGTCGTGATTGAATCCACCACATTGCGAAGTCGAGTCAAAGCAATCGTCAACAGCAAAAACATTGTAAACGTAACCATGCCAACAATAACGTTACACTGATCTCCTTTTTCTTGCGCGATTATTAGAGACGAAAATACTCCACCAGCGGAAGCTGATTCCAATCCGTGGTAAATGTACATCAAATAACAGTAATTTCTTGTTACATATTTTCACCTTTTATGACTTTTTGTATCTTTTAGCAACGTTTTTAGTCTTGATCTATTTTGTCATTTCTAGTGATATTAATTAGAGGAAGCGTTTTTGTGGCATCGGTTGGGTGTACAATGCAGCATTGATGTGAATTTCAGAAAGATATTATGTTACAGGTGTCACATGTTGAAGGTATGCCCACAGCGCCGCAGATCGTAGATACACGTTTACCCCCGTGACGAAACAACAGGCATGGTGCTGAGAGATAAAAAAACCCATAACTGCGTGCGAATGTAGAATTTGAAAGCCACTCTTAGTGTATTCTCGCACGACTAAGAGACCAAACCAAAACCGCATAAGAGTCTTAAGCGTTTGAAGCGCCCATAAAATAACCATACATTATCCACTGGAACCGCGAACAGTGGAGACGGGTTGGCACTGGCTGGTGAGACTTGTTTTTCCTCTTATCAAAGTAGAATGATTCAAGTTGTCAAAAAAGGAATGTATGAAATTAGCACTGGGGAATTTTTTAAACTTATAATTTTTTTCTGAAGTGGAAAAACAATGAAACAACAATCCAAGCGGCATTCAAACCCGATCCTATGTGTGACAGGCGAACACTTTTCCCAGTGGACTATGTCGGCATAATGTTTCAGATAAATCTTAGTAGTAAAATCACACTGACAGTAACAAAGAGCCAATTCTTCACACTTATTTCCTTGACATCAATGGGTACCACTATTCAAGCGATTTATCGGCTTTCGCACCTGGCCGCCCCCGCTGTAATTATGAAATTAAAGAAGCGTTCGATACAGCAGAACAACCATCACACGCAAAAAGACGCTGTATCGCTTTGAAGAGGGTTCTGTACTAATTGCCATGCAAACAATCAGACGCAAAGGCCCTCTACTTTTCCAAACCTGAGAATGAAATATTATTAAAGACTCTGATATTTAGAAAGGTGTGTTATATTTCAACCCTGAAAAAACTTTTGAAGTTAATAGCGTTCTAATGTAGTTTCCATACCATGTAATAAATTCTTTAAATTTTCCTTTGAAATGTGATATGAAAAGGAGGAGACGCAGGTGCACATGTATATGGTCATTAAGAGAGATTGTTTTCATGGAAATCAATTTGATGCTATATAAAACAAAACCGGAAGTCATTAGAGCATGCGCCGAAGCAGCTTGTAAAACCCCTTCTGACAAACAATAACCATAAGAAGACTGCAGAACTGTGGCTGTCTGGCTGGGTTTGTTTGTTACTTGCTTCACGCCGCATTCACCTACAGTCCAGCTATATGACGGAGGTATGTATATAATCGATTCTGGATCAGACAAATCAGTGATTGGTGTTGTGAGCTATATTCACGCCGTCGGGGAACGATGACACGCAATCAAGCAGGTCAACGAGCCTGGCCACGTGACCCTAGTCGCCTCTTACGAACGCCACAGATTGCCAGGACCAAATGTACCCTAGAATCCTCACAGGGGTAGGTTGGTAATGACGGAGATACATGATTGTTGCACGAGAACCGCTGAGTAGCAGTAGCACTAGCAGTTAAATACGTAGTAGTGGTAGAAATAGTAGTTGTTGTAGAAGTAGTACTAGTTGGAGTAGTAGTATTGCTGTTGACGTATAAGCATGTTGTAAGAGGCGACAAACAGGTTCGGGTGGTCAGGATCTTTGACTTGACTGATGCATGTCATTTCATCCCAGTGGCGTGGATCAATGCTCACAATGTCAATCACTGGATGATCTGGTCTTGTTTACAGACCACCGCCATATAGCTGGAATATTGCTGAGTGCGGCGTTAAACAACAAACAAACAAAGTATCAGCAGTAGCAGTAGCAGTATGGTAGGAGTTGGAGCAGGTATACTCACCTGAGAAAATCATCATACTTGTACAGTTTCCCCGCCCATCCGGCCCCCGAGTTCTTGAGGTGGGTGGTGTCGAAGCAGGGGTCGCTGTTGGCCACGTCAGGCATGAGCACTCCCTCCGGCTCATTGATCACCTCCCAGCCACCGAGACCCGGAAGTCCAGCTAGACCCTTAATTAAAGAAATCACTCCTGAACTATGAAACAGGTAAATGAAGTGTACTCATTCGTCACTATGGACAAGGAACGCGAGGGAAGAGTTGAGTCCCTGAATAAACATAAAACAACCAAAACGTGTATCTGTTCTTTCTGCTGACTGATACTGTTGTCAGGAGTGTTTGTCATTTTACTGAAACACGGGGTGTTTGTTTAATTGACCAATTTAGACCAAGGATCATATTCATACTTAATCGGGGATTCAAACCTACGATCTCGCCCCCACCCAAGGGACGCAACTCTACAGAGCGGAATGCGGCGTCTTGTCCACTGGGCCACCAGTGCGACCTACATGTACACGTGTTTCATATCACGGAATTCTGACGATCACACATGTCCCACCTTGACCATGGGGATCAGAGCCTTGTTGATATACGACTGTAGTTTGTTTGTATCGCGGATGAGGCCGTCCAGATGAGCGTGTGAACCCTGATTAACGGCGCCGTTCCACAGGCAGAGGAAGATGAGGACGTTGTGGGAGGCGGCGTAGTTCAGCATCGACTTGAGGTCCGCCATCATCGTGCCACCTTTATCCATGCCTATCACGTGACCACTGCTGTCGAACTCTGGCGTGTTCGCTCCTTCCATATGAATCCACACTCCTTAAATCATGAGCAGGATTTTACGTAGCCATACTCCTTAAATCAACAATAATTGCTTTCAATCATCTGTCACGATCACAAACTGAGATATTATTTTGCAGCACTGCATTTTAGAATTTTGTATGCAGGCCGAAGAAGGCACACCAGATGGTGGAGATGTGCAACAAACAATAAATAAATGCATTAGTTCGTGAGTAAATGCTGTATAATGCAGCAGTCAGCAATATTCAAGCTACAAGTATGTCATGACACTTCTTATATAATTAAATAATTGCTTTCGTATGCATCCACGCTCCTTAAATCATTATACACATTCGTATGAATCCAAACTTCTTAAATCATTAAACTTGTTCGTATGAATCCACACTTCTTAAATCACATACACACTCCTTAAATCATTAAACCTTTTCGTTTCAATCCGCTCTTCTTAAATCATTAAACACTTTCGTATGAATCCACACTTCTTAAATCATTAGACACTTACGTAAACATACACACTCCTTAAATCATTAAACCTTTTCGTTTCAATCCGCTATTCTTAAATAATTAAACACTTTCGTATGAATCCACACTTCTTAAATCACGGTGAAGAAACACTTTCGTATGAATACACACTTCTTAAATCATTAGACACTTACGTACGCATCCACACTCCTTAAATCATTAAACACTTTCGTACACATATACACTCCTTAAATCATTAAAAACTTTCGTACGCATCCACACTCCTTAAATCATTTAACACTTTAGTACACATACACACTTCTTAAATCATTAAACCTTTTCGTTTCAATCCGCTCTTCTTAAATCATGAAACACTTACGTACGCACCCACACTCCCTAAATCATTGAACACCTTCGTATGAATCCGCTCTTCTTAAATCATGATGAAGAAACACTTTCGTATGAATCCACATTTCTTAAATCATTAGACACTTACGTACGCATCCACACTCCTTTCGTACACATACACACTCCTTAAATCATTAAACCTTTTCGTATGAATCCACACTTCTTAAATCATTAGACACTTATGTACGTATCCACACTCCTTAAATCATTAAACACTTTCGTACACATACACACTCCTTCAATCATTAAACACTTTCGTACGCATCCACACTCCTTAAATCATTAAACACCTTCGTACGCATCCACACTTCTTAAATCATTAAACACTTATATGTCTTTGAAAACAATGTTTCGAGTCCGCGTTGACGAGGTTCACTGTTATAACGTTAACTCACTCATGGAGTTCCCTCCGGCCTTGCTGAGATCCCGGATGTACCCCTCTAGTATGCCCTGCACACGTCCCTTATACAGGTTGTTGCCGAAGTCATAGGCATATTGTACCCAGGCCAGATTGGCGCCAGAGAGGAACACTTTCTGTCCGCCTTTAACAAAATGGTCGCCTTGCACGGACAGTCTGTCGCATTGGACTGAAAACAACACACACAAAATGTCATGTTAGGAACTGGAGGATGAGGTGGCTAGACACAGAACATGTCTCCAGCCACTGCGGCCCCTTCGTAAACAATGAGAATAATGAGGCATGTCAGCTAAAGGTTGGGGGAAGTTTCAGCTGATGCAGGTCTTGGACGTTTACACTGTAGTGAACTCAACGAGCACTGGTATGGTGATGGCCATAAACAGAGCGAATCTGGGATTCGATGTAAACATCTGTCTACAAACCATTCAGAAGTGTTCCGTCCATATTTTCGTTGGCATAGGGGGGTCGTCGCCCTCTCTCTTGTTGTTCCCGACAAACCACCTTTGAATATATTGGATCATAACATATAATGTTTCATGAACAACGTCATACCTGCAGCAGTACCACACGCTAGGAGAACCAGCAAAGAAACGGCCATGATTGAAGTCTCCTGTTGGGAAAGACAATTCAGGAAATAAGCGAATTGGCAAAACATGTGGCAATCATATAGAGTGAGTGAGTCGCTCTGCTGTCTTGGGCAATATTTAAGCGAGTGAGTGAATGTTGTTTTAAGCCACTCTCGGTAACACTGCAGCTATACAATGGAGTCCTACCCATCGGTGGTTGATCGCAATATCACAAAAGGGCACACACGAAATGGGCCGCACTAATAGGACTCATGTCGGGGAATCGAACCCGGGCCTTCGGCGTGAGAGCTACCGCAACCAAACACCGTAAGTGAGCGACGACACGCAATCAGCAAAGTCATGGACGACATCCAACGATCGACAAAGAACATTAAACACGGGGGCAAAAAGAGCTTCCTTACCTAAACACACCCGACTCTAAATGGTAAGGTTTGTCCAACAAACGAGAAGGAATTTATCTCGTTTGTAGGAGCGGCTACAGGTTACATAAAGTGTACCTCAATATCTACTGACCTTAACCTCGTGTTATCAGCGTGTATTATTAAAACAGTACTGACATGAATATATGAATATATAGACACGCAAAAATTCCAAAATTGAGAGCAGTTTGGATGTGATTACATGACATCCATCAGTGACCTTCATTGTCGATTAAATCCGATGTAACATATTTTAATCTAGATGTCTTGAAATAATTTCTAGGTCAATGTCTTGTCAAGGACAACGATAAAAATAGTGATAAAACCAAATGCTTGTGTTTGCAACATATGTTGTGTAAAGGAATGAATGAGCCCAGATACAAAACAAAATTATGAGAATGACAATGGAAATGTATTTTCTATTTCTAAACACTGACGGCATTGGATATTTCGGCTAGCTTAAGATATATAACTAACACTCCAGTATGGCAATATGGATAATGTTTGCTGGCGTAACCCGAATAATAATAATGTGTGTGTGTGTGTGTGTGTGTGTGTGTGTGTGTGTGTGTGTGTGCGTTTGTGAGCGCGCGCGCGTGTGTGGATAGCTAATTGGCTAAATTTGCGTTGAATGGGATTCGGAACACATCACGGCTTCTGCATTTATTACTTGACAAATGCCAATTTCTGTATTCATTTCCATTTTGAAAACAAAGATTATTTGGTTCTATTATTGAGATACATTTGTAGCCGGGCTTGGTAATGGAATGTCCAGCCACTGGGTTGTTGGTTAGAACATGAGGCAGTTGGTATGATGATGGTGGTATTTATTCAGTGTCAGATGTTAGGATGGAAGCTAAACAAGAGACCTCCTTATGGCATACTCATTGAGATCTTCTTCCCATTTTTCTTACATGAATATTATATTGGTTGTATTCTGTTAAGCTAAAGTATACACACAAGATTCTACACCGTTCTTGCTAAAATTATTTCCTTTATGAAGAAAGGCTTAAGAGACATTTCAAGTTGCTAGCCCAAAGCACACCACCTTTAGACCATTCTGCCATAACCGCATGAATGAAGTCTTGGAATATACGAGCATCGCTTCAGCCCCCGTCGTTCGGATGGCTATTCGGTTTGCTTTGTCACGTTAGCAAAGGACTTTGCTCGTCTGCGACCTGGAAATGCTGGCTTGGGAATTGACACCAGGAGACAGATATGGCAGGAAATATTTGCCTTTACTGTAATTGTACCTAAACTTTAAGATTTATCTCATTTTACTCGTGTCTGCCCTTTCTCGATCTCATCAGATTCATCGAGGCAACCTGATGAGTCTGATGAGTCGACCAATGTCAGCTTGACTCATGTTGTTCCACGTACCAATGAAAGCAACACTGAGTTCACTGAGCGTGGTGTGTGGATGTTGTCGTTGACGTACACATCTGCCAGTAACGTCACAGGCGTGTTTAATGGGAGAACAGTCAGGACGGAGTACTGACCATAGCATGATATTGATGTTTTCTGTTGGAGGAATAGGGTCACAATAACTTATGTGACGAGGTAAGTCATACGGACATTGGACTGGCCCGCTAAGTCCCTGATATGTCGCTAATAGAGAGATCGTACACCAGGGACCATGCACCCGCCAACGTGGCCCAGCATTGGGAGCTCTTCAGGAGGAATTGCGTGCAATACCAAGGTCAACAATACACAAGGTGATCAAAAGTATGTCATCAAGGAGTCGTGCATGTATCGCCCAACATGGTGGACACACTAGATATTTATCTACACGGCCAGAATTAAGTTTACATTAATCGTCATTACACCTTCACTATATTTCATGAGTTATCTTATTTGTGGTCGGTAATATAGACTGAATTCCTAAAGAAAACCGCAGGGAGGAAGGGAGACACAAGAAGGATCAACATCACTTGTTACAAAAGAGATATTGGACAAGATACACCACAACACATAACTGTTTTACAAGAAGGGGTAGCCTAGTGGTTAAAAGCGTAAGCGCGTCACGCCGAAGACCCGGGTTCGATTCCCGACATGGGTACAATGTGTGAAGCCCATTTCTGGTGTTCGCCGCCGTGATATTGCTGGAATATTGCTAAAAGCGGCGTAAAACCATACTCACTCACTCACTACAAGAAGAGATATTGGACAAGATACACCACAACACATCACTGTTTTACAAGAAGAGATATTGGACAAGATACACCACAACACATCACTGTTTTACAAGAAGAGATATTGGACAAGATACACCACAACACATCACTGTTTTACAAGAAGAGATATTGGACAAGATACACCACAACACATCACTGTTTTACAAGAAGAGATATTGGACAAGATACACTACAACACATCACTGTTTTACAAGAAGAGATATTGGACACGATACACTACAACACATCACTGTTTTACAAGAAGAGATATTGGACACGATACACTACAACACATAACTGTTTTACAAGAAGAGATATTGGACACGATACACTACAACACATCACTGTTTTACAAGAAGAGATATTGGACACGGTACACTACAACACATCACTGTTTTACAAGAAGAGATATTGGACACGATACACTACAACACATCACTGTTTTACAAGAAGAGATATTGGACAAGATACACCACAACACATCACTGTTTTACAAGAAGAGATATTGGACAAGATACACTACAACACATCACTGTTTTACAAGAAGAGATATTGGACAAGATACACTACAACACATCACTGTTTTACAAGAAGAGATATTTGACACGATACACCACAACACATCACTGTTTTACAAGAAGAGATATTGGACAAGATACACCACAACACATCACTGTTTTACAAGAAGAGATATTGGACAAGATACACCACAACACATCACTGTTTTACAAGAAGAGATATTGGACAAGATACACCACAACACATCACTGTTTTACAAGAAGACATATTGGACACGATACACTACAACACATCACTGTTTTACAAGAAGACATATTGGACACGATACACCACAACACATCACTGTTTTTTACAGTGAGTGAGTAACAATATACAAATTTACAATTTACATCGGCAGTATTTCCGCCATATCGTGACTACAACTATTTAAACATACACACGAAATATTAATAAACTTTCTGAAATACCTGTCAGCAAAGGACAGTAAAATGACTAGAGTATCACAGACATATTTAAAACTAGTATTGAACGATAAAACGATAAAACGATACCATGCCTTCAGCCGCTGGTGATTAAAGTCAGTAGTAGCTTGCAATTAAAACTAACAAATATACTACGATTAAAAATTGAGTAGACCCAAATGTACTTTGAATGATGTGGAACTTACGTACTCTTTCAGGGGGAGAATAATTTTTACAGTACTTCAACCCCCTTCAAGAATACAGCCACTAACAATCTCAGTTTGCAAATTTAATCTACTCATTTTTAAAATGACATATAGACAATTTCAAAAGAAATTAATCAAAACTTTTCAAACAATTCAATTTCCTTTAAAAAACAATAATTAAATGAGAAGTTATACCATTAAAAAGATCCTTGACAGTTGATGATTTGAAATATTTATCTCTTGTCATGGCAAAATCAATACAGTCAAGCAGGACATGCTTGACCGTGATTCTTTCATCACAATTGATACAAAATGGAGGATCCTCACCTTTTAATAAATATTAATGTGTATGTCTGCTGTGGCCAATACGACATCATCGACTGATGACCTCTTAAAATCTGGACTGACAACCCAAGTAAGTGTAACCGATAGTTGGTTTAATTTCATGTAATTTATTGATACCTACTTGGGTGTCCAACTTCTTTTGCATAAGATATTTGATGCAGGATCTTATAACAGGTTTATAATCAGTGTGCGGGATCAGAAAGGGTGTCACAGATTTGTTGAGTGCTGTTTTTGCAGCAGCATCGGCCATTATGTTATCTATGATACCTATATGGCTGGGTAACCAACAGAAAACGCAAGATTATTAAACAATTCAACAATTTCAATTAAAAGTGGATATGTGCATAACACGTTTTTAATAGCATGAAGGCAAGAAAGAAGATCTGAACAAATTATGTACTGTTTATGTTAAGTTTGGCTGTTGAAATATTTAAGTGCTGTTAAAATAGCATTTGCTTCCGCTGTGAAAATAGAAGAGTTATCAGGTAATCTGGATGAGATTGTCCTGGATCTAATGGCACTGGCGCTAGCAACAGTGTCACCATCCTTGAATCAATCTGTAAATATAGATTTGTAAGTGCCATATTTGCTTCGCAATTCAGTATATTGCTGTTGATAAATTAGTTGATTTGTGTCAGATTTCTTTAGTTTAATTAATGTTAGGTCCACCTCTGGCTGTATTACCTGCCATGGTGGAGAAGAGAAAAGCTGAGTGGGGGCTATATTATCAAGATTTATTTTAGCAGCAGAAATATGAGATTGTATTCTTATTCCAAGAGGTGGAATAAGTTATGATTTTCGTTTGTAAAATTCTTCATAAAGTGGATTAAAAACACAGTTGTACGCTGGATTGGATTTTGAAGAATGTAATTTAGAAATATCCTGTAAAGACAATTTAGTGCGGTGTTGCATAAGGGACGGCTTATTAGCCTCCACATAAAGACGGAGAAGTACTAAAAGCTCCAAGGCAAAGTCTCAGGCCCTGATGATGAACAGCATCTAGTTTAAAAAAAATATGCTTTTACAAGCTCCACTATATATGATGGATATGATAATCCAATCTAGAGCGGATGAGCGCTTTGTACAGTTGGAGGAGGGTTTTCTGATCTCCTCCCCACTTCGGATTTGAAACGAGTTTCAAGAGATCAAGTGCCTTCAGACATTTATTTTCTAAGAAATTAATATGTGGTAGAAAGGTCAAGTGATGGTCAAATTTAATACCAAGGAACATGGCCTCTTTTACTATTTTGATAGGAGTTCCATCCAAAACTAAATCGGGATCCTTATGTGGTTTATATTTTCTACAAAAATGAATGCAATTCGTTTTTGATTCAGAAAACTTAAAACCATTTCCGAGTGACCATTTATGAATTTTATT